AAAAAAAAAAAAAACAGACTTCAAAATGTTAAGAGACATGTGTGTCTATTGCTAGAAAGAACATTCTAAAAATATTACATGCTACTTTTTTATATGTGCTCAAGGAAATAAAACCATAGTTACATTTGCTATTTTCCTCTTTTAGACTGCCATCTGGCAATACACACTTCCACTAGAAAAAAATTCTAGCCAATTTGACTAAAATAGTTAATATACCACCCCAAGTGCCAAAAATATGCCAGGGAGTCTACAGTTTACTCAGTCATGCCCCAACAGAGATACTAATGTCCTTAAAAGATGAAAGTAAATAATTCACAGGATGCTTACCAACCTGCGAAATTTCCTCCCCACCTTTGGGCATTGAGGCAAACTAGCCAGAGGAAAAGCACAACAAACGTACTTCTACAGAATAGACAACTAAAGTAATAAGCTCATTTACTGGACATCAACTTAACCCCAAGATTGAAGTTTCAAGTCCACTAATAAATACAACAGTGTACAATGGATTGTAGTCACTATATTTCGAGTTAGAATACATGAAATGATGAAACAGGTGCACTGAGTCCTTGTTAACCCTCCTGAAAAAAGGCAGTACAAAAAGCCTTCATCATGATGAAGTCAAGGTGTACCACCATAACATAAATCTGAACTACTTCCTTCTTTGTAATAGTCAAAAGTTGTCAAAAAATGGGCACATCCGGACTAGGATCTCCTTTGGGTTCTCATTCCCTAGTCCAAAAGGGCAGACTAAGGTAACAAAAACCGAGAGTCCATCAGTAGCTGAAGAGTGATTATGAAATACGAGGATGGACAGAAAACCATGTGTGATTCACTTCACATGGGTTGCATTAGAGGTAAACATAGACTGCATGTTTGGAGCACTTCTGAGAGCACTCATCTAGATGGGGTGAAGAGTGAAACAATCAAGGTCCTGGCTCTCCTGGAGTTTACATCCTAGTGCAGGAATTCCAGTAAAATTACCAAACATTTGGGAAAAGCAATACCATGAAAGGTAGTACCAAACACAATCGAAAGCCGCTCAGTTGTGTCCGACTCTTTGCGACCCCATGGACTATACATATACATTCCATGGATTTCTCCAGGCCAGAATACTGGAGTGGGTAGCCTTTTCCTTCTCCAGGGGAGTCCCAACCCAGGAATCGAACCCAGGTCTCCCACATTGCAGGTGGATTCTTTACCAGCTGAGCCACAAGGGAAACCCAAGAATACTGGAGTGGGTAGCCATCCCTTCTCCAGTGGATCTTCCCAACCCAGGAATCAAACTGGGGTCTCCTGCATTGCAGGCAGATTCTTTACCAACTGAGATATCAGGGAAGCCCCTACCAAACACAAGGTCTCTTTTCAAAAAGAGAAAAGTTAATAATATTCAAGGAAAAAGAGTTAATAAAGAAACAGAAGACTTTAATTATTATTCTCACAGAGACTAAGAGAACACTGCACCTGTAAGGCAAGAATAGTTTATGACATTAGAGAAAATTCTGAATAAACACTTACATTTAAACCTTTGAATGAAATCTTAGAAACCAAAGATAAAGAGAAAAATCCTAAGGTTTTCCAAGAGACAAAAAGAGGTATAAGCCATTTTCAGATATTCAAGGATTGACTATATTCCAAGTTTAAAAGAACTATTAGACTTTATCAAATCAAACAATTGGAACAAAGAATTGTGACTTTAAAAACACTGCAAAAATATACATACAATATAATACTATTTGTAAATATTTTAAAAACCATCAAACAATCCTGCACGTTTTTATGGTAACACACTTATACAATAAAAATATAAAGTCATTACAGTCATTATGCAGGAGTACAAGTAAGAAGCAAGCAAATGGGGTAGAGCTTTAGCTTGATACTTCCTTAAGAAGAAACAACCATGGGACTTCCCTGGTGGTCCAGTGCTTAAGAGTCTGCCTTGCCTTGCATGGGACATGGGTTCCATCCCTGGTTGAGGAACTAAGATCCCACATGGCATGGAGCAATTAAGCACCACGATGAAGACCTGATGCAGCCAAATAAATAAATAAATAAAATATTTAAAAAAAAAGAAGACGCAACCTCCATCATCAGAATCCAGAATCATAAATGATCTCAACAAAGGACAGAAAGTGTCTTAGGAGGGAGAGACTGAATGTGAAGCCTTGTTAAGAAAGAGAGTGGGGGACGGGAGAACCGGGAGTTTGTAATTAGCAGGTAACAAAGTCCTACCGTACAGCACAGAGAACTATATTCAATACCCTGTGATAAACCTAATGGAAAAGAATATACAAAAAAAAATTTTTTTAAAGAGTAGTTTCTTATTTTGGTGAAGAGAATGATTACTAAATAGATAGCCAATGTTAAGTTTAAGGATGTGTAATAAAAATTTAACGTTAACCACTAAAAAACATTTGAAATAGACATTTTTTACTTTCAAATCATCACAGGAAAGCAATGACACAGAGAAGGCCACCAATATAAAAGCAGACTAAGTTCAACTACATCAGTAATCACAATAAACAATGATTAATTAAGTTCACTATTAAAATAAACAGACTGTCACACTGCAGTTTTAAAATATCCAGCTACATGCTGCTTACCAGGTATATGTTAACAAGATATAGACCTAAGATAACATGGGACAGCTGAAAAGAAAAAAATGAAAAACAAGATAACAAATCAATAATTTTTTAAAAAAGAAAGTAAATATAGCGATAATAACATCAGGCAAACCAGAATTAAAGAGTATCAAGTGAAAGAAGAGAAAAATCTTATTGATAAAATATGCAATCAGTCAAGTTTTTATGGCACAAACCTTTTACATACTTAATTACATAGCTTCAAAACATATAGCGCAGAAAAAGGCATCAAAAGCAGAAGAAAATGACTTTTCCGTAACAATAGTGAGATTTAACATCCCCTTCTCAAAAGAGCCACATTTCAAATAAATAAAAAGGGTGAATTAAAAAGTTGTAATAAACTTGACTATATAAACCTAAACATATCAAGGTACACACACAAACGCGTCTGCACATGCGCGCGGCTCATCTGCTAGCTCAGCGGTAGAGAATCTGCTTGCAATGCAGGAAACTCGGGTTCCATACCCGGGTCAGGAAGATCTGGAAAAGGAAATGGCAACCCATTCCCACCCGGGAAATCTTATGGACAGAGGAGCCCGCTACAGTCCACGGGGTCGCAAAAGAGTCGGACACAACTGAAGTACTAAATAACAACAAAACTACACACACACACATTCCTCAAAAGAGTCCCCAAGGCATCAAATACATAAGTCATATTCTCTGATCATGCCTCAGTAAAACACAAGGATAGTCAACTGTCTGTTTCATTTAGACTGGCATCAGATGGGCAAAAATCTATGTGGCAGCTTGGGTGTGGGTATAGAGAAAAGGATATTTATAGAAAACTTTATGTGGGAGGATAAGCTGGCAGTGCCTTTTTGCAAAATAATTTGATATTACCATCAAAATTTTAAAAGTCATACTCTTTGAGTTGGTAATTCTACTTTTAGAAATACCTCATATAAACTATACGTAATCACAAAACAAATGTATAATACAAACAATGCAATCCTACTTAAAGCAGCAAAAAGGTAATATTATCAACAGAAATACGGTTAAATTATAGTACATTCATTTCATAAAGTGCCAAGCACTGACATGGAAAGAATCTCCAAGACACAGTGCTGCTGTTGTTGTAAGTGTGAAAAAATACACATGTATCATTCAAATTACATTAAGATGCAAAAAAGAAAAAACAAACTGGAAAAATACAGAACATACTTTTTTCTTCTAAAGAGGGACATGATGGAGAACTTTCATATTTTACTTTATGTAAGTCTCTACTGTTTGAATATTTTATGACTTGTACTGCTTGTATAATTCAAAGAAAAGAAAAGACAAGACAAGCAATAATTTTTAAGAATTTCTTGCTTACTTCCCAGAAGACTAGGATCTTTCTGTTCTTGGTACTAATTTGATCAAACCCATCAGCGAGTACAGGACAAGTATAAGCTTCCAATCTGTTCAAATAAGAACATTTTCTGTTCCCTCTGCCAGGAATGCTCTTCCTCGGAGATGGTTCACTCCCCTCACTGCCTTCACGTTTTCCACTTAAATGTCACTTTATCTGAGGAAGACTTTTCAGTATAAAATGCCAACCTCCTACACCCACACCTCCTCTCCCCAACTATCTTAACTTGCGTTATAGTTCACTAGAGTAATTTAATGCCTTTGTCTCAGCATCTTTGTCTGTAACACAGGCTGATACATGTACTCACTGGAAAAGACCCTGATGCTGGCAAAGATTGAAGGGGGGAGGAGAAGGGGACGACAGAGGATGAGATAGTTGGATGGCATCACCGACTCGATGGACATGAGTTTGAGCAAGCTCCAGGAGTTGGTGATGGACAGGGAAGCCTGGTGTGCTGCAGTCCACTGGGTCGCAGAGAGTCAGATATGACTGAGCGACTGGACTGAACTGATCCCCACAGGATTATCGTTAGGCTTAGAATGAGCTAGGAGCCCTCGGATGAGCACCCGACGCACAGTAAGAGCTGTATCAGTCTTTGATGTTTTGTCTGCTTTGTTTACGGTCTGCCTTCCCCCCGTGAGAATGACAGCCCTAGGGAACAGGCACTGCGTTTTGTTCACGACTGTATCCCAAATGCCTGGAAAGCGTTTATCAGTAAATATTCATAGCTGTCGAAGCCTGATTTAGTACTGCGGCCATATGCACAGACAGCTGAGATTACAAAAAAAAAGGGCCAATTATTTTCAGTAAAAGCAAGCTTTCTGCACATTAGCATAAATAATCTATAATGATTCAATCTATTTTGAAAGCACAATATGTAGCAGTATGATTGCTAGCAGTATCCAGTAGGAAAGCGGCGCAGTCCCATTGAATTCCTTAATTTCCTAATACTAACATGGCAACAGAAAGGAAAACTCAATGTGGAGGGAGCATACAAAACCATGACTTACTCTGCATTCCGGCTTTTGATGCATGGCTGGTAGAGGACCTTGACTGCATTCCAAGAGGAATTGGAATCGGCCTTCAATACATCTTCCAACACAGGGAATTTTTCGATACTTGTGGACTGTCCCAAAGATTCAATCACCAAACTGTCTGAGTTTAAAAGCCATAGCTAAAGAAATGAAGAGAAAAGTCTAAGCATAAGAGCATTTAAAAAAAAAAAATTATCACTATCCTATCCATATCTCATAAGTAAGTAAGCAAAGTTGTTTAGTCGTGTCTGACTCTTTGCGACCCCATGAACTGTAGCCTACCAGGCTCCTTTGTCCATGGGATTTTGCCAGGCAAGAGTACTGGAGTGGGTTGCCATTTTCTTCTCCAGAGGATCTTCCCGACCCAGGGATTCAACGAGGGTCTCCCGCATCGTAGGCAGACACTTTACTGTCTGAGCCACCAGGGAAATCCTATCCATATCTCATACCACCACTCAAAAAAGAAAAAAACAAAAACTATTTTAAAAGAAGATAAAACTATAAAACACCAGAAAAAATACTGAAAAATCATGTACGCAAATTTGAAGTAGGGTAAGTCTTTCAAAGTACAATGTTTGTAGAACTGCTGATAACACAGTTTCTAAAGACAACTGATTAGGAGAAAATATGTAACACCAAGTTATTATCCATAATTTACAGAGCTTCTAGCAATCAGTAAGTGGGAAAAACAGACCAAGAGAGATACAGATGAGGAATAAGAAAAGAATCAAACAGAAGAAATAAGTGATAAATATATTAAAATGTCACTCTAACTAGTAATAAGGAAATACAAAATTTTTGTGCTACTCCTTTTCACTTATCAGATGGGCAAATAGAAAAAGACAGATACCACAGAGCTCAGAAGAAGGGTTTGGAGAAAGTCTTCCCACACACTGCTTGTGGGAGAGTGCTTCTGGATTTGGATTCAGTTGATTAGTTGAGGATTTACTCTCAGGAGAAAGGGTGTGAGGGAAAGAGGAGAAGGCAGGGGAAGGAGTTGGCCAGTGATGTGGCCTCAACCTAATCTCACAGGGAGCTCTGGAACCTGAATCCCACCTATAGAATCAGTTCCATTTTGAGACAGGAGACGGCAGGTTTTGTAGCCCAGAGTCAAGTCACAGGCAGTAGGCTGAGCAGGACAGGGGTGGGGTGAGGGAGGACAAGAAACTCCCCAAGCCAGGCTGCATCTGTCCAGACGGGACAAGTCTCTGAATGAAGGCAGCTGTGAGCCATGAGCAGGCAACATTCTCATCACAGGGAAATGTGGGACCAACCAAAGAGAGGGGACTTGGGTAGGGTACCAAGAATGTCTATAGACGGTAAATGAGGTTTAGAAAAGATAAATTAGTCCAACATTTTGGAGACAATAATTATCAGAGTTTAAAATACACCCGTTCCAAGAGTGATGAGAAAAATCTGTTTCTAAAGGACTAAAATACACATGCAAGAATGATTTTCCCTGAAGCACCGTCTTTACCAGCCATACAGTGGAATTCTAATCATTAATAAGAGTCCATATTTACACTAACAAGAAACAGGACTCATGATACATGGTTGAGTGAAGTACACACGTTGAAGAATGAAGCTAATCACATCATTGTGTTATTTTTACAAATACCTGTGGGTGTATTACATATAATTATAAATAGGGGGAAAATGGACTGTTAATGATTACCTCTGGATGGTATGACACAGCAGGGCGGAAGAGGGGACAAAATGGAAGGAAGGAGCACTTCTTTTATGTTCTTCATGTTGTCAGAATGTATTTCAAGAATGTATTACTTTTATAAGAATGAAAAAAATTTTAACTTAAATATACACTAGTAGTAAGTTTAAAAAAAATTCCTACTCCTGATTTTCAACTTGAAAAGATGAAAAGAAAACTGAGGGAATTCCCTGGCAGTCTAGTGCTTCGGACTCTGTGCTTCCACTGCAGGGGCACGATCCCTGGTTGGGGGACTAAGATACTGCAAGACTCGAGGTGGGGCCAAAGGAAAAAAATGGCGGGAAAAAAAAAAAAGAAAATTAAAGCTGATTTCAGACTATGACTAAGAGGTATACTTAGTGTCACCCTTAGTTAGGAAATATTTTAACTTTGAATAAAAATTATCTGGAATTAGAGAAGCATGGAGTCCCTGTGATGGATCGTCAGTCACAAAGCAGTATCAAGTAACAATTTCAATTCCCTCCCTCCAGTTAGCTACCATGGTCCCGTATTAGCGTGTGAGGTCCTTGAAGGCATTTTTGTTCTATCCTGAGCACCTAGGAAATGTCTTTCAAATAAGAAGTGCTCAATATATGTTTACTGGTTGAATAAAACTGATGTGGAGGCAGACAAGAGACTTGGGCCCTCAGTCTTGGATTTTTACATAATGTCCTCAACTCTTTTCTGCAGTTTAGTATTAGACACCTGTGGTTTATGTAGGGGACAATTCTGCTATCTGTGGAGCCTCTTCTCCAAAACTTGCCACTACTTCTCAAACATCAAAGTGTTGAAATCAGGATCTTGACGAGATCTCTGCACTTCCATATTCACCGCAGTACTGTTTACAATAGCCAAGATGCAGAAGCAACGTAAATGCCCACCAACGATGTATGGATTAAGAAAATGTGGTATACATACCCAAGGGAATATTAGCCTTTAAAAAGAAGGAAGTCTTGTAGTATGTGACAATACAGATGAACCTTGAGGACTTTATGATAAATAAGACACAGCAGGATAATACTGCATGATTCCATTTACATGAAGAATTTAAGATAGTCTAACTCATAGAGGTAGAGAGAGAATGCTGGTTGCCAGGTGCTGGAGGGAGGGACAAACTGGGAGTGGCTAATCAAAGGGTATAACGTTTCAGTTGGGAAGATGAGTAAGTTCCAGAGACTTGCCGTACATCATTGTGCCTATAATTAACAATGCTGGAATATAACATAAAATAATATTTTTATAATATAAAAGTCTGTAAAGAGGGTAGATTATGTTAGGTGTTCTTACCCCCCCCCCCCCCACACACACAGACACACACACACAAAATGATAAAACAAAAGCAGGATCAATAGAACATATTTTAAACATAAAGAGTATCAAATAAAGAGGTAAAAAGTGAAAAAGAGAATTGTGTTACACTGACAAAGAAAGCCATTAAAAACTGAAAGCAGAAAAAGTTTATTTTGTGGCATGAGCTTCTATGGAACAGGAATTAGGTTTTATTTCTCTGAATTACAAGTACCTAGCACATTACTGTTGTTGTTTAGTTGCTAAGTCATATCCAACTCTTTTTGCGACCTCATGACAACAGCCCACCAGGCTCTCTGTCCATGGGATTTCTCCATAGAGGCAGGTAAATCATTCGTTATTCAATTAAAGGTGCTTGATTTGTGAATTTAGCTGACAATTAAAATTTTAATTTTTGATCCCTTATTTTCCAGACCTGAGAATTAAGAAAAAAGAATAACAAAACCCAAAGAATTTCTGAGCCCCTGAACTACTAGGCTACAAAAAACTGGGCAAAAATCACTTCTTACCAGAATGTATACTTTGCCATCATGACCTTGAATAGTGAATCTAAAAGTGCTTCTAGCAGAGGACAGTTCCACCATACACTGGGCGATAATGCTCTGTACAAACTGAGACCTGTTTGAACAGAAACCAATTTCCACAATGAGCCTCTCATAATAACTGACAATAAGAGCCCCATATACCCACAGGGTACCTAAGAAGCAGAGATGGCTGCATGCCAGACTTTTCTGTATGCTGACCATTCCCTCACAACCTGTGCTAATTTTAATCTATTTTTAATGTATTTGATATTTGTGCCAGTCTTTGTGAGATCTTAGTTTCCATGTTCCCTGCAGTAGAAGCATGGAGTCCTAACCACTGAACCACCAGAGACGTTCTTGAGCCAGTCTTTCTATAACCTATTCTTCAATCACTAATACATTTTCCACCCAAACCTATTTACATGAAAAGTAAAAAGTATTACTTGCTCAGTCATGTCTGACTCTTTGTGACCCCATGGACTGTAGCCTGCCAGGTTACTCTGTCCATGGGATTCTCCAGGCAAGAATACTGGAGTGGGTAGTCATTCCCTTCTCCAGGGGATCTTCCTGACCCAGGGACAGAACCCATGTCTCCTGCATCGCAGGCAGATTCTTTACCATCTGACTCACCAGGGAAGCCCAACCTAAGTATTTCCTCCATGAAACTAAAAAAATATACTGTTAGATTAGTCAATATTCCATTTGAACTGTGGTAAATTAAGCAGTGAATAACTAAGTTATAAAAGATGAGAAATTTCCTTCCAAACATTAGTATTATCTCCAATGTTTTCTATTTGCTTCCCCTCAGACTGTCAGATCTGAGATGCATAATCAAAGTATTATAAGAGGATGCAGTTCAAAGATGCAGTTATAGTCAGAGGGCCATAATTTTTAGACATCAATAAGTGAACTGAAAGATACACTACAGTAAACTTTCATTTGTAACACTAAAAAGATTCAAAGAAAAAAAATACTAATGAATTTAGTGGATAAGCAATATTCTTTTTAAAAACACAGGAGTCATTTGAAAACTAACTCACACTGCAAATAAGTTAAATTAAAACCAGAAATAATTACTCAAAAACCTATGAATAAGACCTATATAACCTAAGAATAACCTATGAATAAAACCTTGGATATCTAGCACATAGAAAGAAGCACAAAAAAATTTCAGAACTAGATTTATAAGAGCACATTTGTGTATATCATTATGTAAGCAAACCATAAATAAATCTTCAAGTCTTTCATATCTGTGGTTTCATTCTACTACCTAAAAGCCCTTCCAAAGGCTTTCATTTTTCCTTTCCAAGAAAACAGGCATATAAATAAAAATGAATTTCTAAATAATGAATTGTTCCCATCTTTCTTTACATGTGAAATTACAGAAGAAACAATTTGCTATTTGTACCTTGGTATGATGGGAAAATTTCTTTCAGATGGCAGAATAATTATCTCCGTCATATAAAACTTAGTGGTTTCTAGAAACAAAAAATAAGAATATTAAAAAGCTCCACAATTAGTATTTCTATTGTGGGCATGTTGGTCTCAAATTATGACATTTCAAACTAAATATCTGATACACTGGTACAATGAACAGTCAGTAAAACTTTTCTAAAAGCGACTTAGCTTCGGAAGACAAAGATTGATGAAACTATACAGTGACAGCCCTGACACTTCAGATAGCTCAGCGCTGTTTCAGAAGAGCATGCCCTAGATGAATCTGGTGCAGCAAGACTCTGTTCACAAATATGCATGGTTATAAAAACTAGGCACATCACAACCATCGCCCACTCATCGCAAACTCAGTCTTTTGGTTTCCTCATTTCTATAAAGTAGCCACAATCCTAGGAGTCACTGAAAAAGCCTCTTTAAAAATCATAGTATTCTAAAGCCCCAGCACAAAAGCTGTGAACCTCACATTAATATTTACCCAGAATCTCAATGAGTGTATTAATATCCAATTTTTACAAAATCTGGTTATCTGATTACTTCATTTACAGAAAAATTTAAACTAATGTTTAACAGAAATGAACATAATCATTTTTGATTTTTAAAAAAAATCCATGAAAAATGTTCACTCACTAGTAATGAAATGGAAATTAAAATGAAATATTTTTAGTATCAAATAAAAAAATATTTTTGAAAGATAAACTGTAGCAGCAATGAAGATATGGAGAAACAGTTACACTTATTCTCCTTCTGCTGTCAGGACTGCAAATAACAGATTTTTGGAAAGCCACTTGGTGAAGGCATTAAAAATATATATACATTTTGGTTGAGAATTGGTTGAGAAAATCAAAGTGAAAAAAAATATACATACATTTTGATACTATAATTAAATGCCTAAACATTTATCTCAAAGAAATGCTCATAGATATCTGTAAACATTTATCTAAGGTGCTTACAATAATATTAATAGAAAATACTGAAAAATTAAATTTTTAAAAATTGAGGATGGTTGAGTTAAATAAACATCTATATATTTCAGCAAGAGAATTTTATAGTCATTAAAAGTGGTGTGCCAACAAATTTTTAATTGTTTTAATAAGGTGAAAAATTGTTCCTTGTAGATTTTCTGTAAATGTTTACAACTGCTCAACACAGAAAAATGCTAACACATTTCTGCTAACACACAGAAAAATCCAAAAAAAAAAAAGTATTTTTTTGAATCATTATGATGACTTTATATATTTCCCCTTGAAGTTCAATTTTTCACTTTACTATTTAAAATCATGTTATTAGATGCAGAATTGAACTTTTTAACATTCTAAAGTGATCCTTTTGTCCCAGTTGTTGTTGAAACTGTAGTTTAATTCCACAGTTTTAATCCCACAAGGTAGTACTAATTTACACAATTAACATTCACTTAGTGTCACCAACATATTGGCCACTTTCTTTACCGATTCTTCATGAACTTAGACCCTCTTTCTGGAATCATTTCTTTTACCTAATATACCGGCAAAATTTCTTTTCATAAGAAACCAAATCACTAGAACTGAATTATCCTAGTTTTTGCTTGACAGAGAATATATTTATCTTTGTCTTGATTCTTTCACATCAGGACATTTTCTTCTGATATAAAATCCTAGGTTAACAGTTTTCAACCTTTGTTGAAAAACTGTTTCTATTGTTTGCTGTTTGTGTTAATTCTCACTGGTAGAAGTCTAGTGAGACTTCTTACGTGCCTATTTATGTTTGGTTGTATGGTAAACACTGTACTTGACAAATTCTTTGTGGGAATAATATAAGTTTCACAATGAAGGCATTTTCCTCCAGAGATGACTTGCAATTGATTTTCCCAGGCCCATGGCATTATGTCTAGTTCAAAGCAGACTAACCATGTTCAAGATGTGAAATTCCTGAAGTCTCAAAGGACTGATGTTGTCTGTAATTTCACGGGCTTGTATTCACTTGTGATTTGCTTTCACTGTGCCGTATAGTTATTCAGGGTCTCATATTTCTGTGCAGTCACCTATTGGATTCTCACTTTGTGGAGTCTTTGATATGAAAAGTTCTAATTTTAGAGCACTGGCAAATGCAAGGAAAAGGTGGTTTTTAATTTTATGCTAACCTCTGTTGAGTATGCTTTTGTGGTAATTAACCTACATATTTTCCATTTATCTTACTCTTCATTCCTTCCTGTGGATTCCAATTAGCATCCGATTATCTTTCACTTCAGCCTGAAGAACTTTCCTTAGCATTGTCTGCTAGTAATGCATTATTTCCACCTATTTATAAAAAATGTTCTTGTTTTGCCTTCATTTTTGAGGGAGTGTTTTACTGGATATAGAATTATTAATTGAAAGATGTTACTGTTTTCTCCCCCAGTATTTTGAATATTTCAAAGGGTCTTTTGGCTGTCTTTTAGTGTCTTTTTGGCTGTCATTACTTCTAGAAAAAGTTGGCCTTAATTCTTAATGAAATCCCTACAATGTGATGTTTTGTTTTCTCTTGTTCCTTTCAAGATTCTCTCTTCATCTCTTGCTTTTATCAGCTTGACTACAATACGCCTGGGTGAAATGCTCTTTGTGTTTATCCTACTTGAGATTCACTGCAGTTGTTGGATCCAAAAGTTAAAATATTTCACCACATTTGACAACATTTCACCCATTTTTTTCCCTGATGTTTTTTCTCCCCACCTTCTAAAGCTCCACTTACACATTTATCGAAACACTTAATATCATTCCACAAATCTGATATTCTCTTCATTTTGAGACTTTATTCCTGTCTGTTCTTTGGATTACTTAATTTCTATTCACCTATCTTCAACTGGTAGCTCAGATAGTAAAGAGTCTGCCTGCAGTGCAGGAGACCTGGGTTCAATCCCTGTCAGGAAGATCCACTGGAAAAGGGAATGGCAACCCACTCCAATATTCTTACCTGGAGAATTCCATGGACAGAGGAGCCTGGCGGGCTACAGTTCACGGGTTTGCAAAGAGTCGGACACTACTGAGCAACTAACACTTTCACTATCTTCAACAATTTTTGTTTGCTTCTATCATCTCAAATATGAGGTTTTAGTTAATCCAGTGAATTTTTCTTTAGTTACTGTACTTTTCAGCTCTGTAATTACCAACTGGGTGTTTCTCTGAAGTTGCTGATTTGTTGAGATTTGCTATTAATTTGTCTTTTTAATTCTTTACCATATTTATAATTAGTTACTTCAACACATTTGTCTGCTAATTTAATATTTGTGCTTCTTCAGCATCCGTGGAGTCCTGCTTTTTCCTTGAGTATGAACCACTCCTGTCTCTTTCTTTGCCTGGCTAATAATTTATAGAAGGAAGTAGCATATTTTGTGTAATACACTGTAGTAATTCTGGATTTTCTTTTATCCTTTGAAGGGTTGTTGGTTTATAGGCCAATTAATAAGCTTGGACTAAAAAACCAGGAAATATGCCTTCCCACAGTATGGAGTCACCGTGTCTATGCCCAGTCGTCTTTTGCTTAGCCTGACTCCCTAGAGAGTATCTGCTATCTCTGCATGGTTTGGCTATCAGCAAATCTGGTGTAAGGTTCTTCTCAAATACTTCAAACCACTAAGGCTTCCACCCTCTGCTACCCAAATTGTATATGGAATGAAGAATGAACCAAAGGCAGAACAAATTTTCAGGTCTCTCCAAGCTTTCAGCTCCTAACGGACCCCCTGGCATCTATTGTATGTATGTAGAGTTTAGCAACTAGTCAGAGTTGTGTTAAGAAATTATTAGCTCTGCCATTCCAGGACACTCTTGCTTTCAAAATATCCCCTCTTAAATGTCTCCTTTCTCCTTTGCCTACCCTGAACCAAATCTTTAACCACCTATAAATAATAAAGCTGTTTTTTTTTTCCTACCCAAGTTCAGGGGTTGGGGGGAATACGCAATGACCTCAAGCAAAAAAAGCACAAATTTGCCATTTTAGCCCAAAGCAGTAGCAGTTTTTGATAACTGAATATCTCTCAAATCATTGCTTCATTTCAGTTATTTTCTAGCAGCTGTTCTTCTGAACTTGTACGGTTCTGTACTTGATTCCTTCAGAGGAGAACTAGCCATTCTCTTTATGCCACCATTTTTGAAACTGTGTGTGTGCTCAGCCACGCAGTCATGTCCAACTCTTTGGGACCCCATGGACTGTAGTCTGCCAGGCTCCTCTGTCAATGGAATTTTCCAGGCAAGAACACTGGAGCAGGTTGCTATTTCTCACTCCAGGGGATCTTCCTGACCCGGGGATCTTCCTGACCCATGGATCAAACTCGAGTCTCTTGCGTCTACTGCACTGGCAGGCAGGTTCTTTACCACTGTACCACCTAGGAAGCCCCCCTGGGGATCCACTAATTTACTTTTAGAGTAGATGTGGGTAAAGCTCTCTTACATTACCCGCCCTCCCCTCACACACACACTCACATACAATGACCTCCTAATATACTTAGGTATCACATCATAAAGATTTTTGGTTAAATGGATATTCAGTGTTCACATATTGTGACCATAATCATACCATGGAATAGCTCCTTTTTTGTTCAACCTTCTGTTTCCCACAGTGCATAACTGCTTTCTTTTTCATGTGTTTAGTTTTCTAAACATGTTTAGCTAATTTTGCCCATATGACAAAATGGCTTGTCTCAAGATTATTTGTTATATGTGGTCAAACAATTCAATGACTATCAGTTTCAGTGTATAACCGAAAAAATCTTTCTATTACAATCTTCTCTCCACTTGCTTCAATCCAGACTGTTATTCTCTAGGCCTGCTGTACATCCCTCCCCATGGGATTCCTTATCTCATTCTCCTGTGTTGAATGATCTGTTCCCCAAATCCCACATTTTTTCTTTTGAGGTTCAATTCCTACTTTTGCTGATGCATAACCCTATGGTAGATTCCCTAAGGAAAATATAACTTTGAGGTCCATGTTTTGAGACCCTGTAGCTCCAAAAATGTATTTATAATCTTCACACTTGACTATCTGTTGAATTCTGGGTTGAAAAATCTTTTTCCTTCTAAATTCTAATCTTTTTTCCTTCTAAATTATGAGGGCATTTTTCATCATTTTCTAGCTTTCAATGCTGCTGTTAAGAAGTTCAGTGCCATTCTAATTCCTAATCCTTTGTACATTACCTGCTTTTTGCTCTCTAGAAGCTTCGTCCTTGGCGTTCGGAGATTACTCTGTGATGTGGCTTTAAGCAGCTTCCTCATCATCCTTCATTAATTGTTTAAGACAGTTTAGGGGACCCTTTCAGTTTGCAGCCGGGGCCCATAAGTCCTTGTTCTAGGAAGTATCTTTTTAGTGTGGTTTTAGTATTTTTGTTCTTTGATGGATTTCCCACATCCCGTTGTCTCCATTCTCTTTCTAGAATTTTCAGCTAGATGCTGGATGTCCTAAAAGGCTAATTTCATTCACTCATTCAACAAATATTTACTAGGTACCCACTAGATGTCAAATATCATTCTAAGTGCTAAGCTCATTGTGATAAATGAGATAGAAAATATTCCTATCCTTAGGACACTTACATGATCTTTTTTCTTTTTTAATTTCCTTTCCAATTTTTAATCTCTGTCTTTTGATCCTGATTTCTGAAATATTTCCTTAATTTTATCTTCTTTTGGTTAGTTTTTTTTTAAAGCTATTACATCTTTAATGTGACACTCTCTGAATTGTAGAGGCAGTATTATTTCATTTCTCCAAGGACATTTATTATGGTTTTTTAAGAGATTTTTTTTTTTTCTGTTTTAACACACAATTTGTTTCTTTTCAATGCCCCTGCTCTGTACACTTGATTATTTATTTGCTTTGGACTCTCTTTACCATTTATTGATTCTCAGCAATCTGTTCATATTTAAATGTAAAGTAATAAAATGCTAAGAGAAACCTCTTGGGTATAGATATAAGGCTTGTTGACAGTAGAATATCTGAATATAAGCTCATTTTTTGTTGTTGTTGCTGAATAACCCCTAAGAATCAGTGTCTGCAGAGCTTTTCTTGTTAGTCCACTTCCATTATGCCAAGAAAGGCTGCTCCAATCTCCTACCTCGAGTCTACAAGCAAGTTGCAAGGAGAGAAAGAGTCTCAGGAAACTTACTGCTTTCAGCCCCTTGGCCTTGACGACGGCTACCTCTCAACCCCTAGCTCTCAATTCTGTCCATTTCTGGGATTCCACAGCTGAGCTCTGGCTCCCTCGCTATAAGAAGATCGATCTTCTGCAGACACCACGGCTGCAGCCTCCTCCACACAGCCAAGTGTGTTCCCACCCCTCTCTCAGCTTTACAGCTTCCAAAGAAGTCTGCTTACACCCCCAGTTCACATCACTGTTGTCTCCTTTCCACTTCTCTTTTGTCTCCGTGGATGTCCTTTTTTTTTTTAATTCCTTAACTGACTTTTTAACTGGACTTCAGGGAGGAGAGAAAGGCATGAAAAAAGTCAATTCACCTTATTTAGCTGGAAGCCTTAAGATTTTCTAAACTGTTGCAAAGGACTTGCTTTCATTCTCCAAAAATGACATTGAAGGTGGCATGCTACACTGCTACTCATGCTCCCTTTTCTGTTCACTCTGAGCAAGTAACTACTTATGAGATTCTGATGATCTTAAAAAACAAACAAAAAATGCCACCATCTGCTTTCCCTTGAGGATGGCAGTTTCACTTAAATCACATCTTCTAATTAATTATATTAAAAACAATTATTCTTCACCCATGAAGCTAACATGTGCTGGAGCTCTCTAGACATTTTTAAACCACATCTATAAAGAGTGATGAATTTTAATTACCAGGATTTTCATTATTAAACTTTATAGTGGCATAACACAGATTTTACACAAAATATAATTAACACTACTGGGAAAAAGAACAAGGAACAGAGCATAAAGCTCAGAATGTGTTTTCTTCCATTTCAACAACTTCTGTGTACCGCTCCCCCCACCCTCCATGCCCAAGCCTTAAAACACAGCCCTAAGGCAGACAACTACCAAGAAAAGCATCTCCTCCATCATCCCTGGTAACCAATTCCTCTGACAGAGGAGTTGTATTAAAAAAAAAAAAAGCTTCCATATTCTTTAAGAAACAAACATTATACTACTTTGTAGCCACAAAGAAGATATACAATACTGAAAACAACTCAAATTCTTAATGCTTAAGACTCAATACTATGTACTTACAAAGGTCAAAAGACACAAACTTCTTGGCATATTGGATGATATATTAGTTGATTTCTATTTTTAAAAGCATCAATTCTCAATTCTATAACATGTATTAGTCATCTCTCTTTCATATATATGTCCTATAAAATCTCCTGTTTGTTTTTTGAACGTAACAAGAAAGCAGTCATTTCAGCTTTTTTTATTATGAAATTCTTACCTGATGACACAGTCTCTCCCAACATTACCTTGCAACGCTTACAAATTACTTTGGTATTTGCCTTTGGTTTCTGTAGAATAGAAAAATGTCATTTAAATGTCATTCAGCTTTTCTTAAAAGGAATATATAATTTTAACATGGCCTCTAGAGTATACCTTGAACTTTACATTTTATTTTGCCATCTACTAAATACTGGGAATACACTTAGCTTGTATGCATAAACCACATGCACAGAGATCTTTTTTTTTTTAGTCTAAAGACAAAATAATGAACAGAATGATTATTCCAAACCAAGTCACTTCCTTATAATCTACATGCTGCAAAGTAATTTGAACAAGAAGCATCTTAAAAATTCTAAAAAGCACTTCCAAACATTCTTATCATTTAGAATGTGTGTGGGTGCATGCTAAGTCAGTTCAGTTGTATCCGACTCTTTGCGACTCTGTGAACTATAGCCTGCCAGGCTCCCCTGTCCAAGGGAGTCTCCAGGCAAGAAAACTGGAGTGAGTTGCCATGCCCTCCTCCAGGGGATTTAGAATAGAATAGGCAGGCAACAAAGGTAGAAAGGTAGGTGACTTGCCCCAACACATATGTTTAGAAAACAGAAGAATCAGAACTTGAACTCATATTATTCTGACTCCCAGTCCAGGACAACTTACGTAAAAGTAAACTATAATTCATAACCACCATCAGAAATTAAAAATACTTAACTTACTCATATAATTCTATTTTCCCATTTAACATATGCACTATAACTGAAAAGGCAGAGACAGTGTTCTAGAACAAATTCCTGAAACATTGTTAAAAAATCCAACTTTATCAATAGGGACACAGATTAAAACAGCTAGCAGTTGTTCTAGAATAATTCTAGAATTATTAGAATAATTCTAATTATTAAGAAAACAGAAGACTAAACTTGTAAACATAGAGAACAGATCTGTGGTTATTAGAGGTTGTGGGGATGGGCAAAAATGGGTGAAGGTGGTCAAAAGGTGCTGTTGTTCAGTTGCTGAGCCATGTCCGATTCTTTGTAACCCCGTGGACTGCAGCACGCCAGGCTCCTTTGTCCACCATTGTATAGATTTTAGCAATTCTATTAGAAGTATCATCTGTTGTCAGTTGTTTTGAATCAAAATTCACCTATTTGATTGTATGAGGTACTGTTTTTTTTTATAGTGTGTTTTAAATATTTATTTATTTATTTTGGCTGTGCTGAGTCTTCGTTGCTATGCATGGGCTTTCGATCCCTGTGGTGTGTGGGCTTCTCATTGTGAGGCTTCTCAGGTAGAGCACAGGCTCAGTCGCCTCACAGCATCTGAAATCTTCCTGGACCAGGGATTGAACCCATGTCCCCTGCATTGCCAGGTGGATTCTTAACCACTGGACCACCAGGGAATTCTGGTTGTTGTTCAGCTGCTAAGTCATGTCCGACTCTGCAACCCCAAGGACTGCACCATGCCAGACTTCCCTGTCTTTCACTATCTCCCTGAGTTTGTCCAAATTCATGTTCATTGAGTCGATTATGCTATCTAACCATCTCATCCTCTGCTGCCCCCTTCTCCTTTTGCCTTCAATCTTTCCCAGCATCAGGGCCTTTTCCAATCAGCTGGCTCTTCGCATCAGGTGGCCAAAATATTGGACCTTCAGCTTTAGCAACAGTCCTTCCAATAAATATTCAGGGTTGATTCCCTTTTAGGATTGACTTGTTTGATCTTTGTGCTGTCCAAGGGACTCTCAAGAATCTTCTCCAGCACCACAATTCAAAAACATCAATTCTTTGGTGCTCAGCCTTCTTTATGATCTAACTCTCACATCCATACGTGACTACTAGAAAAACCAAGCTTTGACTATATGGACCTTTGTCAGCAAAGTGATGTCTCTGCTTTTTAATACACTGTATAGGATTGTCAAAGCTTTCCTTTCAAGGAGCAAGCATTTTTTTAATTTCATGGCTGCAGTCACTGTCTTGGAGCCCAAGAAAATAAAAATCCATCACTGTTTCCACCCCTTTTATTCGCCATGAAGTGATGGGACCGTATGTCCATCAGATGCTAAAGGCCTGCTATTGTGTCACTGAGTAATAATTGTTTATTTTGTCTGGTGTGAAAATGACACTGTGGTCATGTAAAAAAGAACAATATATATAGGAGCGAATTGACATAATGTTTAGAATTTGCTTTAAAGCACTTGAGCAAAAAACTAAAAATAAAAGGGGCAAATGAAGCATATTGTATGAATCAGGATGACTGACCGAAGTTCATAATTCTATTTTTTTACATTTTCAAATGTTTACAAGGTTCAACACATTATTTTAAGAAAAAAAAAATTCCTCATGAACTTAACAAAACAAACAACCAAAAAAAACAAAGGTAAAACTGTTAGTCATACTCACTGGCTAAAATAGCAATGTTCAATTTCATTTGTTCTTTAAAATATAGGATGAAGTCATATGTGTGGCTACTTTCTAAGTCTAGAACAATATTATGAATCTTATCAAAAGTTGAGATGCTACCTTTATCAATCTGCTTCACAGATGCAAAATTTTCATTTCATTGAAAGGCATAAAAAATATCACAAGAGATAATAAATCTAAGAATAGGGAAACCTTCAATAGATGTCTTTTGAAAACAAAAAGTATACTGCCATATTCTCAGAGGCACAAATAACGTGCTGTACACACACGAGGTTATTGAAGGAAAGGAATAAGAGTTGAACTTTATGTTTGTTTGCTTTTTTTGGTCATTTATGAATATTATAATTCTAGAGATATGCTTTGGAGTAATTCATTGTCGAGGATTCCTTAAACAGAATTAAAATATACATTCCTCATGCTGAGTTGAGTTATCGCTTAAAATTTTTTTCCACAGTTAAAATACATTTATTTTTAATAAAGGTTCACTTGTTCCCAGCCCCAGTAGCATTTCTTTTAAAAATAAAAGTTCCTGTTCCACGTGGGCTCCTCATAAAATACGTTTTCATAATCTCCTACAAGCAGAGACAAAAAAATTATTTCTATCAAATACTCAGAAAACATGCAGAATGCATCATTCATGTCTGATAAGCTCAACTAGTCTTGATCTTTGAAATTAACATAACACTTTCAGTTTTGTGAAAGAGAAACTCTGCTTTGTAGTGCATGTTTCTTGACCTATGCTTCATGGAAATAATCAAGCGAGTTGTGCAGAGAAGCAGCCTAGCAGTGTAGGAACTCTACAGAGCAAACATCAAAGACAGACATTGTTGTTAACTAATTAAATCAATATATCTGCACGATGGCAATACTGCTACGAGAGGTGGATTAGCCTTCTGTCCTCGTTTTTCTTTTCCTTTGTGTGGCTTCCATTCTAAGAACCCTTGATATTGTCTTACCAAAAAAATGTTTCCCAAGAGATACCATTAGGATGCTGTGTCACCATGTGACATTTCAAAACCCTGCTAGATGGCTAGACTGGGTGATATGAGAAATAGGTTTTCAACAGCACAGAGAAGCCTTGCTCCCACAGGAGCCGTGAGTGCACTGTGTAAGTGGTCCCTCCAAATTTATGTTACTATTTTGGTCTCAGGCATATTCTTTCAACTGCTGCAATATGCAATTAAAGTGAAACTTCCATCGAGGCTAACTTGAAAACAATCTTGCCAGCAGTAGCTTGTCATGACAGTAATTTGCCATGGTCTCCTTGATACTTAAAAAACATAATGTCTGACTATGGCACAACACACAGGATGGCTGTTCACAATTAAGAGAAATTCTTCTAAGTGGCATCATGACTGATGAAGACACAAATGTGAGAAATTTGTTTTCAGATAGAATACAGAGTTCATCTAAAAAGGGAAACTCATGGTTTTGCTTATTTAATCTTTCCCCATTCCTCTTCTACTCACATCTTTCAAATATTTTTAAAATGTATAGCTTAATCATAAAAATGAAAGTCAAAATACATAAAAGAGTAAAGCACTAGTATATTTAGGTTAAAATATAATTTTACTGCAACCATATTAAATATAACAGATTTACATTAAGTGCTTACCATTTATCTTTGAAAACTATAGATGGCTAAACACTATAATTATGGAGGTATTCTAATATATATATATGTATTCTAATATATGCATATAGTAGTATATATATACTTCATCTAATATATATTGTATAATAGACACACATACATACACTGAAAAGCAGGGAGATCAAAGGAAATACGAATGGTTATGACTTTATGAAAGCTTAAGATACTTACAGAGAGTTGGGGTGAGAGAGGAGAGAGAGAGTCAAGTATTTTAAATGGAACCTAAAGATACAGGGATTTGTGTTTATGGTGAAAGTTGAGACACTTACATAATTTAAACTGATAACCTCAACATTTGTCAAACTTCCTTAATCTCCCTCAAATTATGAAATAGGTCTATAAACTAGCTGACAAACTAAGATCTTCTGGACTGCTGCATATATCCTAGAGTGGTCCAGTTCTTATTACAAAAATTATAGGAGCTTTAAATGAAATTTAACACACAATGCCATGGTTCCCACCAATAATCAGATGTTAAAAGGAAGGTTCTCTGGCAATGATTTTCTTAACATTTTAAATCACATCTGTATTGACCTGCCATCTGGGGAATGATTTCTCACAAGGGCCAAGTCAATGCCATTGATTTTCTTTTAAAATAAGGTAAACCACTTGCTCTCTGCAGTGAGAGGAAACAGCCTTCTCCCTCTAGCAGCTCTGAGAGCAGGAGCGCCTGATCTCGCTTGTCAGGCACCAACATGGAGCCTGTGGCCTGAGCTTTCTTTTCACACTTGGGATCCTCCACTTCCTCTGTTGCCTGATGGCATTCGCTTGTACGACACCCACAGAAATCTAGACTACAGAAAGACACAGGGAAATACCCGGACCTCACAGGACAGTAGATATCCTACAGCCAAAGAAAAATTTCCATTTAAACCAGACTCTGAGGATAAAATGCACACGGATCATGGAATACTGTCCTCAAAGCAAGCAGATAGGGCACTCTGGTTTGTAAAAACTAACATTCCCAAATCTATGCACAAAGAAGCCTCTTTCCCTCTTCCTCCAGCCCCTGTGACTATTTTGGTTTAAAGCCTGTACAAGCCCTTTCTATATCAAAAGAGCAGGGCTTGATGATAGAAGTAGTTGAAAATAAAAGATTTTGGCCTTTAGGACTGCCTGTTCCACATGCCTTGATTGAAGAAAAGACTGGAGAAACCAGTTTCTAAACCCACCTCAAAATGAGCATTTATTTTAAAAGGTATTTTACCAATTTTAGATGGTTCTCAGAAGAAAGATGGTGTGTCTCCACTGGGGCTTCTTTAGGTCTTGGCTGCCACAAATCACTCTTTAAATTCACCAGGTAGAAACAGTCTCCGGTGAAACAGTCATTCTCTCGTGGATGAAGTGGCTTATTAGCAAAGGGGTCAGGATGACAACACCACTCGTCAACAAGAGCGCCCCAGTTATCGCCTGGCAGGGGGAGCACTCTCAGGAGTTTCCTAGTGGAAAGAGATAAAATGATGTTTTATAGAACAAAATGGAGCTGTGATCTCAAAATTAAATCAACATAAAAGATGAAAGAAACTCATTAACCATATTGCTTGCAGTGTTATTTTCCCCCCTGATGACAACAGTAATATATACTCAATATAGACAATTGTGAAAATACAGAGGTATAAAGCAAATAAAATCCATCTTTTCCTTAACACCCAAGGACAGGTAACTGCTTTTTTACATGATTGTTTATCTCCTTGCCAGCCCTTCAAGAGAGACAGCGGCACACACATGCACACCATCTGAGATGAAAGGAAATACACAAACTATATCTTGCTTGCATTGCTGCTTTTTTTTCTTTTTAACTATATCAGGCTACTTAGTGTCTCTATTCTATTCCACAGGTATGCCAAAACTTTTTAGGTCATTCCCTCACTTTTAGATATTTGGGTTTTGAGTGTTTCATTATTAACAACCTTCTGATGAACAGTCTTTTTAGAAAATCTGTATACACATCTGACTATTTCCTTGGGAAAGAAATCTTTTATGTGGGAGCGTATAAGCACAAATGATACACATACTTTTAAGTCCAATTCCTCTACGGACAAACTGCTCTCCAGAAAGGCTATACCAATCTATAATTCTTCCACTTACCTTTTCCAGAATTGAATATTATCATTTTTCTATGTAATGGGTGAAAATAAAAATATTTTTGAAACTGCTATAATTGGCAATTCTTTAATTACTTGTGAAATTGAACCGGTTTTTATATTTATTCACCACTGTGTCTTTTCTATAAATTATGATCAATGGCTATTTTCTGGTGAGGTATTACTATGTTATTATTAATCTGTACAAGTATATTCAGCATTAAGAATATAAGTCCTTCACCTTATCTTCGACAAAGGAGGCAAGGATATACAATGGAAAAAAGATAACCTCTTTAACAAGTGGTGCTGGGAAAACTGGTCAACCACTTGTAAGACTGAAACTAGAATACTTTCTAACACCATACACAAAAATAAACTCAACATGGATTAAAGATCTAAATGTAAGACCAGAAACTATAAAACTCCTAGAGGAGAACATAGGCAAAACACTCTCCGACATAAATCACAGCAGGATCCTCTATGACCCACACCCCAGAATTTTAGAAACAAAAGCAAAAATAAACAAATGGGACCTAATGAAGCTTAAAAGCTTTTGCACAACAAACGAAACTATAAGCAAGGTGAAAAGACAGCCCTCAGTTTGGGAGAAGATAATAGCAAACGAAGCAACAGACAAAGGATTGATCTCAAAAATATACAAGCAACTCCTCCAGCTCAACTCCAGAAAAATAAATGACCCAATCAAAAAATGGGCCAAAGAATTAAACAGACATTTCTCCAAGGAAGACATACAGATGGCTAACAAACACATGAAAAGATGCTCAACATCACTCATTATCAGAGAAATGCAAATCAAAACCAAAATGGGGTACCATTACACGCCAGTCAGGATGGCTGCTATCCAAAAGTCTATAAGCAATAAATGCTGGAGAGGGTGTGGTGAAAAGGGAACCCTCTTACACTGTTGGTGGGAATGCAAATTAGTACAGCCACTATGGAAAACAGTGTGGAGATTTCTTAAAAAGCTGGAAATAGAACTGCCATATGACCCAGCAATCCCACTTCTGGGCATATACACCGACGAAACCAGATCTGAAAGAGACACGTGCACCCCAATGTTCATCGCAGCACTGTTTATAATAGCCAGGACATGGAAGCAACCTAGATGCCCATCAGCACACGAATGGATAAGGAAGCTGTGGTACATATACACCATGGAATATTATTCAGCCATTAAAAAGAATTCATTTGAATCAGTTCTACTGAGATGGATGAAGCTGGAGCCCATTATACAAAGTGAAGTAAGCCAGAAAGATAAACACCAATACAGTATACTAACGCATATATATGGAATTTAGAAAGATGGTAACAATAAGCCTATATGCAAAACAGAAAAAGAGACACAGATGTACAGAACAGACTTTTGGACTCTGTGGGAGAAGGCGAGGGTGGGATGTTTTGAGAGAACAGTATCGAAACATGTATATTATCAAGGGTGAAACAGATCACCAGCCCAGGTTGGATGCATGAGACAAGTGCTCGGAGATGGTGCACTGGGAAGACCCAGAGGGATGGGATGGGGAGGCAGGCGGGAAGGGGGATCAGGATGGGAAATACATGTAAATCCATGGCTGATTCATGTCAATGTATTGCAAAAACCACTACAATATCATAAAGTAATTAGCCTCCAACTAATAAAAATAAATGGAAAAAAGAAAAAAGAATATAAGTCCTTGGTCTAAAATCTGTGACAAATATTGTTTTGGGGTTGTTGACTTTCATTTCATCACCATGCCTTAAATTTCAAATCACCCAATCCTTTCTTCTGTGATTTCTCTCATTACTATTTTTTAATAAACTTTCTATTTTAGCATAATTTTACATTTACAAAAAAGTTACAAAGATAGTACACACAGTTCTCATATATACCTCACCCAGCTTTCCCTAATGTTAACAGCTTATTTAACTAGGGAAGATTTGCCAAAACTACTATTTTTATCTGGATTTCCCCAGTTTTTCTACTAATGTCCCCTTTTTCTGTTTCAGAATCTGACTCATGACAACACATTGCACTTATTTCTATTTATTGAAACCAAATTTTTTTTTTTTACTTTTTGACTGCGTCACACAGCATGTGGGATCTTAGTTCCCCAACCAGGGATCAAACCTGTGCTCCCTGCATTGGAAGGCAAAGTTTTAACCACTGGACTGCCAGGGAAGTCTCCAACATATTGTGTTGAATCCACGTTGCTCTCATCTCCTCTGCTCTGGGGCAGTCTTTCCGTGATTTTCAGGACCTTGAGATTCTGAAGAGTAACGCCAAGTCACCTCGGTCATGTCCAACTCTGTGCAACCCTATGGACTGTAGCCTGTCAGGCTTCTCTGTCCATGGGATTCTCCAGGATTCTCCACTAGAGTGGGTTGCCGTGCCCTCCTCCAGGAGATCTTTCCAATCCAGAGATCGAACCTGTGTATCTTACCTCTACCTGCACTGGCAGGAGGGTTCTTCACCATTAGCACCAGTACCAGTTGGGTATTTTACAGAATACCCCTCATTTGAGTTTGTCTAATATTTTCTTGAGATCAGACTGGGGCTACAGGTTTGGGGGAAGTCTACCCCTGAGGTAAAGCACTCTTCTTATCACACCACACCAGAGGGGACCCTCTATCAGTATGACTTATCCCTGGGGATGTCAACCTCCATCACTGGGATAAGGTGGCATCTGCTTGGCTCCTCCACTAGAAAAGCTCCTATTTCTGCCTTTGCACACTCTGTTGTTTGGAAACGAGTCAGGAAGTCTAGGCCAGACTCAAGAGGAGAGAAACTAAGCTCCACTCTGGCATTATTTTTACACTTAGAACATCCTTACAATTAAGAAGCCCCTTATATTTGCTACTATTTTTGTTTTATTTTTTCCTTGTACAAATATAGACATCCAAGACTTTTGCCTGATTTACCTCTATTCTAGTCTAAACTGGGAAGAGTCTAAGGGGAGAAGAAATGTGGTAAGATGATGAGGACATTTCAAAATAACTTATCCCGAAAAAAAAGAGAAAACAAACATGCTCCCGGTCTTCCTAATGCTCTTGAATATTGTGAAAGCTTAAAGCACCCTGAAAACTTGCTCACTTCTGCTCCAATCAGCTGGACCATTCACCCGCTAAGGATCAACTATATTTGATCACAGATCTGTTTATGCCATTTATACATGTTATTTTACTTACATAATTTAATCAAACATGTACACCAAGGGACTATGAATTGCTATTCCTCTAAAAACTATACATTTCAGAGTAAAGGAAAATCAGTTTTTAAAAAAACAACATCACTGGTGAAATGTGAGAAACATAACTATAAAAAACTGAGGTGAGGGAAGAAAAGTAAAAACCGAGAATTCTGCAATCAAATTGCTTCAGTGTTTAACTTCTCATTCCACTTTAAAGAACTTAAACTGGAAACTCTGGATAATGAATTTAGGATAGCATAAGTGAAAAAAGATAGGAGTCCACAGCAGCAGACTCACATTCAACATGATGATATTAGTTTCATAATAAAAGACTAGTTAAGTTAAAGTACATTTGCATGTGTTAAATGAAAATATTTAAGATGCAAATGCATTATTTTTTAATTATTCCCTTGTGTGAATTCTTTTTCTTTGATTTCCCAATCAATTCTGAGTCTCATAAAAGGGCAATCATAACATGGAGGAAGGCAGACATTTAATTTATAATTCCAGAAGACAGAAGTAGGAACAAGAAAAGCTGATTTTAGTTTAAGAGAAGCAAGAACATTCCCTTTCAAATTAAGCAATACTTCAGCACTAGCATCATTCAAATTGCTGAGTCTGTTAAGGAGATTAAAAACCAATTCTTTCAACATATACTTTCTAAAAGGCTACTAGGAATCAGGTATTCTGCTGACACAAAATATTAGCAGCAATACATAGAGTCCCATTGTCAAGGTATTCATATTCTAGTAGGAAATATATATCTAGAAAGGAATAACAGAACCAGGATATAATAAGTGCTCATAACAGAGTCCGTAGTTCTAAATTCTCAGGAGTTGAAGGGGGAAAGATAGGGGGTGGCTCAGATCCCTTTGAAAACCTGATGAAAGCTTTCACCTCTTTCTTCAAACGTACATTCCCACCTGCACATAAAATGTGTATATTACTTTAGGGGATCTGTGCATTTGCAAAACGAATCAATGAATTCAGGGAAATATGTACCAAATGTTAGGGGAGTAGAGTATACACAGGCTTCAGAGAAGAAGTAAAATCTGGGCTGACCTTTGAAGGTTGAATAGAAGTTCTCTACACAATGAAAGGAAGTAAGCAAGCAGGCAACAGGCATAGGAAACAATATGAAGACAGGTACCATGTATGTTTAACTTG